CATCATCCACCTTACACAAACTGAACCTCTCAAAAGTGCTGTGAAGACCTGGGTGTTCCCAGCTGAATTGTCAGCAATCGATCTTGACAAGGCTTGTAATAATGCAGACAGTGAATCGAAGGCAAAATTGAAACAAGTCCTGGAGGAACATGCGAATAGTTGGGTTAGGACAATTTACCATGCCATCGGTACGGCTGCCATGATGAAGAAGGAGGATGGGGGCGTTGTTGATGAGAGATTGAAGGTACACGGTGTTGATGGTTTGAGAGTGGTGCGTTATGATGTCCCTTTGTTGCATTGTCCTCTCTAACCTGAAAATGTATTGAATAGGCGGACGTGTCTATCCTTCCTATGGTACGTTATTATATTCCATACAATGTGGAAAATCGGCAGCTTATGGAATTTTAGGAGATCTCGTCTCATACAGTCTCGGCGGCCTATGCAATTGGAGAAATGGTCAGTTCCATCTTTAGATGACATTTCTTTTTGATCTTGTTGATGATGCGCTCGTCTGCAGGCCTCTGAGATCTTGATCGAAGACTACGAAAATAGTCATTGACGATAGTTTCGTTCGGCACGGCATCTCTATACAGGTGTTACGATGCTGTATGTAACAATGCAACAAATCGAGACTTAAATGCTGTTAAGTGGCGACAAAGCTATGTGTTTGAGTTTGTTATGGCCAGGCAACGGATCCTATCAACATGTACACACCCATGGTTGAGTTCGTTTGACATCCCCACTAGTTCCTCGTTGAGAAACAACTATCTTGTCGTCGGTTTATAACGATGAAGGGCAAATTACAAGATAAATTATCAAGCATCGCGCGGAAAGTGAAAAAATTAAGCTCGAATCGTCGGCGGAACGAACGTATGTTATTTCCATAGCAGTGCTAAATCTAAACTCATCATCATTTACCAACTTTAGGACAAGACTCCAACCCAGAGCAAGAGAAGAATCGTTGTCAGACGTCAATGGTTTCTATTGGTATGTTTCCGTTCCTCTAAGTAACAGACATCGATGGTAATACTGCACCGCCCTTCGCAGAGTCATCAGGCAAAACGACAACATCATCAAGTGAGTATATGAGTACATTCTTTGTATTGTCCCACCCTGTGCTGATGGACATATGCCACACATTCTAGAAGGTTGCCCGCTTCACCAATCCCATGGTTTGTTCACCCAGGCTCGCGATTTCGTGATGATCGAGCCAATATTGGCTGAGACTATATACGTCAACAATCAGAGGTATTCAGGTGAGGAGACGCAGGGACCCTTCATGAGTTTAGCAGATGACTTATTACCTATCCCAGCTTTGGACCGGCTTGCTGAACGCACTATAGACGGAGCTGAGTTTGACTCGTCGGCTCGTGACCCTCCTCCACGATGCCACCCCGGAACCCGCGCCGAGATAATCACGGACGCTCAGGAATGGCTGCGAGTATTGGATGCAGATAAAAGAATACTATGGCTATGTGGTCCCGTGGGCGTTGGGAAATCCGCAATCGTACAGTCCCTTGCCGAACTCCAGGCAGACAGCGGCGAGCGACGAATTGGCGCTACGCTATTCTTTTCCCGAACTTTTCAACGTAATGATCCTTCGCGGGTATGGACGACTATCTCGTTTCAACTAGCCGAAAAGGAGCCTCGGTACTTGGCATATGTGCAAGAACAGTTACACAGCAATCCGAAGCTGTTAGAAAAGGGCATGCGCGAGCAGTTCAGAAAATTGATCGCGGAGCCATTTGGGCTGCGAGAAGTGATCAAACCCTCCCAACCTTTGTTCATATTCTTAGATGGCCTCGACGAGTGCAAAGGGGAGAACGCACAGACCGAGATCGTCCAGCTCATCAGCGAGTTCGTTCACACATATCCAAAGGCTCCGCTATTGTGGGTCATCGCAAGTCGTCCGGAGCAGCACCTAAAAATCGCCTTCCAAAACGAACACGTACGAAAGGTGCTCCGGAAGATTTACATTCCTGTAGACTCCAATGAAGCTTGCAGAGATGTGGAGCGGTTTTTGCGAGCCGAGTTTGAGAGTATACGGAGGAAATACCCATACGCCATACCTAGGGGACTACTACAATGGCCTCAAGAGTGTGACTTTCTGGCTCTCGCACATTCGGCACGCGGACTTTTTGTGCTAGCATCTGCAGTCATGCGTTTCATCGATGATCCTTTCGTCGGAGATCCAGTATCGCAGCTGGAGCTCATGGTTTCAATTGTGAACAAGAGCTCACCTGCTATCAAAGGATGCAAAGATCCTCTCGCCCTCCTTCATACCTTATATACCCAAATCATAAAACTTATACCCACAACTATCTATCAGGGTGTCACCCGACGCATACTCGGGTCAACCATGTTTAAAAACAGTCCTGATTGCTGGAATTCCGATTCTACTTCGTTTTGGCATCTGTGCAATCTTCTCGGGATTAAACAGAACGTTGCATACGGTTCCCTTCACAAACTTCATTCCGTACTCCATATTCCAAGCCCCGAAGACACATATACTACACCGATAAAGCCATTTCACACCTCCTTTGCTGATTTTCTTTGCAATCAGGAAGCATCCGGTCCGTTCTGGATCAACACGGATAGCACCTCTAGCGATATATGGCGCTGCTACTTGCGTGTCTTACAGCAGACACATACCTCATGTGAGTCCTCATGGGCGATACGATACACCCACATTCTAATATACCCAACTGACCGGACATTGAAGGTCACATCTACCCTCAGCCTTCTGATGTTGAGCTAGCTTGGCCCTCACTATCAGATGGACCAAAATTGCAATATAACCTCTGGCTAACAGCGCAGCAGATAATGAGCCAGCATCTCCTACCCTGTGGTGACGAATGTTCCTATGGGACTCACAATGAAGAATTTTCGGACCCCGCAAACTTCGTCAACACTTTTGAACGCATTGACTTTTGCAAATTCCTCCTTGGCTACGTGTTCATGGGAGCTCTCAACCTCTCCGCTACGTTTGTCAACCGACTTGTGAACGAAGTAGGTTCGGTGCGACACACAACTCTTTAATTTTAACTCATCAGGGACCTTATAGATGCATCCACAGCTTGTTCAGGCAGGCCTTCTTCAGAGGCTCGACGTTGACAATTTGGTGGGCTACGAGTGGATCAGACGGGATATGGTGTCTTGCAAGATCATGTACCAATATGGCCGCCGATCCACATGGAAAACCTATACGGATTCCCCGAACGATCCCTTGTTGACCTCGGAACCTATCTCTGATCTTTTAAATGACATGGGGACCCATCTCACCCACCTCACCGCCGTTGTAGTGGGATCCCAAGCCTACGGAAGATGTGCCATTCTAATTGATGAATCTCACCGGGAGTATGCATCATTTTACTTTATTCCGTACGGTTTGTAGAGCGATGGGCCAGGTATGGTGGTTTCTGAGTGGGTTGGACCATTTCATATATTAATATATAATGTCTGTCTGTCTCCTTTAGCTTATTTATACATATTTAATTGAATCTCCCCCAAGTGACCAAGATTTCCTGTCATCAGGATTGACAAGGCCACACGTCCATACCCGACATGTTTGGGGTGCGGCTAAAGTAACATATACGTAGAAACCCAGAACCAACGTGCGCGACTCACTTAAAAGCCTCAGCTCCAAATATCTCCGCTACTAACCTCCCCCGGCGCCCTCTCCCTCGGCGCCCTCTCACTCTCACGTCTCGTTCTCTCCTGCTCGCCTTGATGCCTATACAATCCCGGGTGTTCCTCATCGTCCGGAAGCGCAATAGGCTGCCTCTTATGAAATCTATGGTATAGCTCCGCTGCAATTAAGGCAAGTGGGTGCAAAGCCGTGAATATAATCACAGTGGCCTGCATATACATGTATCAGTGCATATGCTTCTTACATAACTGATATTCTGGACACACGCACATAGATTGGAACTGGTTTTGGTCGCAAACTCCAAATACTGATGCAAATCCAAGTGGCCGCAACGGTCCATACGATATCACGACGAAGCAGCACGACAATCAAGCCGACGATGTTGGTTCCGAGGACAACACCAAATGTGGGCCAGACATGCCAACCACTGAAATCTGGATCAGAGCCAGGACTCACTGCAGGGTTATGCACGAAGCCTAGCGTGATGCTACATGAAGTTGTTAGCACAGTATCGTGAAATGAGATTTAAAGAGGACATACAAGAGACATAATGGAAAGAGGAGCGAGAATGGAAGGATGAAGAAAAATCGGAGCGGGGCGTGAATGAGGGCAGTATCGAAGGGTCGAGAAGGGTCGGGTGGATGGTAGACCAACAGTGCAATGTTGGAGTACAATAAGAGGATAAGCATGACTCCTTGTAGGATTGTCGCAACAAGGAACCATTCCATGACCTATGTTGATATAAGAATCAAGATATAGGAAGCCGGGGGTGGATACTAACCCAGGTGATGGCCCATATTGCCATGAGAAAGTTGGAGAAGACAAGAGAAAGACCGACGCCTTTGATTAAAGTCTTCTTTGTCTCTGGCTTGGTGGCGAGAACCAAAAGCACGCAGTATCCTACTTGCATTACATAGAGCGCTAGAATGTAGATCCCAATGACTGGTGTGCTTGGTGAGATAGCTGTCGGTCGATGGCCGGACACGCCACCTATTGGATGACTGAATACCCACATCCAAGAGACACAATGAAGTCACGCACCTAAGGAAGGCTTGACAACTATAGAACATACAAGTACGGTGGCAAGGTTAATGACGAGCGAGAGAGGTGTTAGGACCTGCAATCTTCATAGGACCTGTTCATATGTTACTGCGAGTAAAACAAGTCTGCCATACCTTGTTAATGCAAGAAAATCTCTAACGGCGGGGTGATTCACATCGAGTGGGAGTGTATCCATGGTAGTTCGAGTGTCAAAGACGGTCTATGAGGATCTCGCCTAAAGAAGCTGGGGCAGTACCAGTGACGTCATTGTTGCATATGATCGGATGCCAAAAATGATCGTAGGGGAGACTGGACACATTGGGAATTGAACCCAACACCTTCCGCAAACCAGGGTAATGCAAAGCGGACGTGATAACCAACTACACCATGTGCCCATGTATGTTTGGGCGCACGGGAAGTCCTGCGTCGCTCGCATTTGGCCGTCTCAACCTCTCTTAAAACGCACAATAAACATCTCAGTTCTTCCAAAAATGCGAAAAAAAGTGGCCTCCGAAGGTTTCGGATCTCCATTTTTGACCTGTACTTTTATTTGTTGTTAGCCACCGAGTGTTTAGATGTCTGGCCACGCACGATCATTGGAGCTCTACCATTATTCGAGGTTTTCTTTCTTATGTTAAAAGTATCATGTACGAAATCCGCTCTTAAATAGGGGTGCCTTCTTTAAGCACACTGACCTACCGCCCATATACTTATGCAGAGCTGTAAAGACTCGATCGCACGATCCCAACCGACCAACGACCTGGGTACAGCTAAGATGGGTATCCGGGGTTTTCGGAAACTACTCTTTTATTTTCGCATTTCGAGAGAACTGTCAGTCTCATGAGAAAGGTTTATTGTGTATTTGATGGGCCTCAGAAGAGGTTGGAATAGCCACATGCGAGCCACTCCAGGACCTACTGTGATGTGGTCACCTAAGTGCTAGGCTTCCTGTACGCTCATTCCCGTGGACCCTAGTCTGAGTGGGGGACTATTCGCGCGGCATGAGTGGCTGGTTGGCGCTGAGCATGTTTCACAGACATGAATGTCGGTGGTCTTCCATCAGATCGGCGTTTATCCATATTGACGATTCAAGAGGCAATGTATAATTTACATGTTCTTGATAAGATTAACTAATCAGTTGAAGTTGAGAGCGAAGTTCGAAAGTCTCCTTACAGGACTCAAACAATTAAACAGTAGGTCGTCCTGTCATAATGAGTACGTCGCAATTCTTCGCGATGTATGGCACTGAAGGCCTAGCCTCCATGCAACGTGGATATGAACACGATTTCATCTCCATTCTTCAGTTGGTAATCTCCCTCTCCCTCTAATTCCCAGTCAGTATCGTTGACGAGGACCAAGATGCCTGGTCGGCTACGTTAATGTCAATCACTCTGAATCAGAAGAGATGCATCCGTGTAACTTACACAGTCTTATTTTCAATGAATAGTTCTGGCCTCTCCTTGAGGAGATGGTCACGGAGATGGTGGATAAGGTATGTTATATCGGCAGGTTTGGTCTCTACGTCATTCTCCTGCGGTAGCGATGATGTGGAGTCATCTTTGCGAACGATAGCGGGAATAGTAATATTATGCGAGCGCTGTTTGGAGAACAATAGTTCCAGCCCACCGCCAAATTCGATCTTGAGAGAAAGGTTATCTGAGGACATGAGGCGCCACTGATGTCGGCGTGCAGAGATTGAGTTGAATAGTCAGACGACAACGGTATCAAATAAGATGAATAGAATTTATTACAGTTCGATGTAGAGTGTTGAGGAGAGGTTCAAAAGACGAGCGTCGGGTATCAGTTGAAGCAATAAAAGTCAAGTACGAACAAATTAAGAAGCACGTGACCGTATCCCAAAAAGGTAGCCTCTGATGCACATTTCCCCAGCGCGTCATGTTCTCACCCAAGTCGCATTGTCCAGCTATCTTTCACTCCTCTCCCTCTCCTTGTTTCAAAACTCACGGAGAGGTTTGGATCTGTGAGCAGACAAGTGAACCTTTGTTCAGCTGGCACTCATGAACGATCTATCTGCAGTTGAATTCTTCCGATTGATTGGTCCGAAGACAATACGGGTCGAACCCTTGTACGAGGCATTCCGACGGGCAACAATTCTACTCCACTGCTCAGGTCTTACATTGTTGGAATACTTAATTTCCTACTTGCGCAAACTCCCATCAGTTCCAAGCTCTTCTATATCTCTTCGAAATGGCCGAAAGGGTTGACCACGGATACGAAACATGGTCTGAAAAATTCAAGAGGAAGTTCAACGAGAATCCTTGGGTACCTATCGGTGGGTTCTAGTTCATGCTTATAATCCCCTATTTAATCTTCATCCCATGTGCCTAACTTCCTCTCCCAATTATTTTGATTTTCTACCCTGATGTGTGAACACAATACTAAATTTCTCTAAACAGGTTGTTTAGCCACAACTGGTGCTCTCCTCATGTCTTCAATAAAGATGAAGGCCGGAAAGTCTCAGGATATGCAATACTGGCTTCGTGCACGTGTCGCCCTTCAAGGCCTTACCATCGTTGCGCTTGTAGCAGGGTCAATGGCCCTCCAAGCTCAGAGAAAAGAAAAGCTCGTCGATAGTGGTGCGTAACCCTTTCTTCCACACCATACCTTTCTTCTTCCCCTCGAGGGTGCCTCCTGCTCTTCTCAAGTCATTTCTTGAGTGAGGATGAAATACTAACTCAACGATAGCCGAGGGTCAGCCACGAAATGAAGCGACAACAGAAATCATCAGGGAACAGAAGAGAGGGAAGGAGAAGGCCGAGTTTGAGGAGAGGTTGAGAGGTGCAGAAATTGCGCATGCGGAAGAACAGGCCAGTGCTCGGATCGCTGGGGGCGTCAGGACCGAAGCTTCTACCGCCAACGAATCCAATGGGATGCAAGGTGCCGTCAATTCTGGTGTTCCTGGAAGCTCAAAGAGTTCGAGCTCTTGGACAAAATGGTTCTGGAAATCCCCCCCAGATGATCCAAGTAAGAAGTCATAATCATCCTTCTTAGTCATAGCAGTCGTATCCATGCCTCGAGCACAATATAAGAGTATTGGACATGAACACTCCTACACTTGTGTAGTCAAGTAGAATATTTGAGAGAGCCATTATGCACCTCGTCCACTCATATTGAACATTCCCCTGCCCTCTGTCCCTACAGAAGGTAACATCGGTTCGCATAAGCTACCGCCACCTGTAAAAGTACATCTTAGTCAGGGAACGGCTGAATCTCAATATTGAGGCCTGGTTCAGAAGTTTGTCAACGGCCCAATGAAAGCCTATCCGGTCGAATAATAATATCAGAGTGCTTAGGTACATAACAACCGACATCATTCAAACAAAGTTAAAAGCAATGCAATATAAAGAGAAGGAAATAATCGATAAAAATCACAAAAAGAGACGGGAAAAATAGTGTAGAAAGAGACAGATAGGGATCAAAGCAATTAGTATTTACTCGGGGATGAAAGGGAAGGAAAGGGTATCGTGTGTCAAGCGCCCTCTATCTTCCTCCATCACCGACGAATCCGCTTTCTACGAACAAACACATCGTCAACTGGCGTGCTTGGCTGTTCATGTGCAGGAGCCTCAGTATCCGCGGATAATTCAGCTTGCGGAGAAGCTTCCATGTCGGTATCCTCATCCTCTCGCGACCGTTTCTTGGTCTTGTTCGCTTTTGGCGTATCGTTGGTTTCCGCAGCGTCTGCGTCCTCTGCCTCTTTAAGCTCCTCTCCCCCAGTCACCTTCGCCGGTGTTGAGGGTGGTTGTTGAGTTGACTGAGTCGGCTCAGCTTCACTACCACCGTCAGGTGTAGTAGTATGTGAGGGACCTGGCGCTTCAGCACCCTCAGAAGGCGCAGGCGCAGGTATCGGTGATGGGGCTACAGCCTCCGACGCTGTCCGGTTAGCTCTTGGAGTGACCATAATTTGGTCATTCTCCAATTGCACATTCTCCAATTGTGGCTCATTCTCATCATTTGTTTGTTCCTGGTCTTGGGGCTCCTCACCAGGATTGGGATTAGCACGCGTCCGTCTCGTGCCACGACGGACGGGACGGGGCTGAGGTTTCGACCGCGATGTCTTAGACTGTTCAGCGTCGGTGTCCGCCAGTTTCTCGACTTCGGACTCTTCCCCTGCACTCGTAAGCTCTCCGGCGCTGGCAGTGCCTCTGTCTGCCTTTCGACGTCGACCGGCGGTCGCTGAGATGTAGCTTGTCATAATGCATATCATTACCATAGAGAACACAACGTACCTTTATCTTTATTCATCACATTATTCAACCTCTTCTCATATTGCCGCTGGGGCTCCCAAGCCTTGAGTGTTGGCGAAACTTCCACCTTGGCCTGGTCCAAAGCCTGATCCATGTGTGCCTTTCTGTCGATCAGAGCCCAACATCAGTCATGGCGTACCACCGAAATGCACTGGGGCAACTGACATTTTCAAAGCATCCCGGTTTTGAATGGTACTCAAAAGCGGTACTAGGATCCTAAAGAACAACAGGCACTTCCTCAGGCCCTTCTTGTTCTTGTTGTTTTGATATGCCGCCAATCGTTTTACGACCCAACTCAACAGATTCATCTGGATCTGTACGATATACTGCGTGTCTAGGCGTTTGAGAATTGCCAGTTGACCACCACGAATAACATAGCAGCTCGAGAGGAGTTTTGCGAGCTGGACCGCATTGTATTCATCCTCGACGTAGCCATCCAGTATAAGGGAAAATGCCTGATTATGTGGTATATCAGAACGAGCAGTATGAGCGCTTGCAAACCCTGACGAACCTCTTGGATAGCTTTGGTGACGACAGCCACAATGAGTTCTCCATTATTACCCGTAAGACCTTCCTCCCGTAGCACATCTACGACAACCTTAATGCAAGTGTCGAATGCAATGCCAAGACGCCCATAATGCGCCAAAAGCACCGAACCGTGGTGAATGGAGATAGCTCCCGCACGAATCGCCCTCAAGAAGGTTGAAATGACATCAATGAAAAGGTATTCCCGCTCGAGCCATGACCGAGACTCCGTATCCACTTCGGCTGGGGTGAGCGAAACGCAATCAGGAAAATTATTAACCATACCTTCTTTCTTTTGGCTCTTCTTCCTCTCGTTCGCTTTCTCCTTCCCCTTCTCTTTAGACTTCGAACGATCATTGTTCTCATCCTCGTCGTCCCCACTCGCTTGTTCGTCATCACTGCCGCGTTTCGAGGGGGTCTCGGCGCGTGTGGCGTCATCCTCCAGTAACTCCGCAAAGCGCTCAATCTCAGCTTGAATGTAACCGGCACAACGATGCTGAGTCTCGTCATCAAGTGTCAGCGATAATGTGTCTGCCTCATCCTCTGTCTTGTCTTCCGCATCCGTCGTTGAAAGCTGTGCCTGCGCAAAGAGTACGTGAAGA